CTTTCCTTTCCTTTCCTTTCCTTTCCTTTCCTTTCCTTTCCTTTCCTTTCCTTTCCTGACAGGGTTTCTTTGTGTAGCCTTGGCTGTCCTGGAACTCACTTTGTAGACCAGGCTGGCTTCAAACTCACAGAGATCCGCTTGCCTCTGCCTCCCAAGTGCTGGGATTAATGGATTAAATTTTCCTTAATCTATTTATACTTAGGAAGCTACTATTTAGGTTTTTTTAACGAAATATACATTTTATGTTGTTTGTTATAAACTTGTTCTTAGAACATTAATGACTAAATACATGTGTAACATTTCTGATTTTCTTTCCTTAATTTCTAGGCCATGAATCTTTGAATGCTCCTCAGCTCCTGATTCCAGATATATATCTAAATGTCACATTTCCCACTGGAATATCAGAGAAACCTTTGTCTACTTCCCCGTCTCATATGGTAATAGCCTTGGTCTGTGCATAGAATTTTAATAATAACCTTGTATCAAAACATGTGGTCATCCATATCACATCCCATATTATGGGTGAAATAAGTATAAAAATCTGCATAACTTCACAAGAAAGATCAAAAACTAGTTTAGGTGTTATGCCCTATAGTACTGTAAATTAGAACTAGTAATATATTTGGTTTCCCCTAGTTAGGCATGCATACTCTTGTAATAAGAGGGATGATGAATTACTACTGCCACTACCCCTTTTTTGGTCATCTAAAGTTAAAAAAAATTACTCTGTTTAACTCAGGCTAGACACACTTATATAGATGTGATTGACATTGAAGCTGGTGATCTGATGGAATTACCTGCCAGCCAAGAGCCTTCAGAGGATGTTATAAAGCAGCAGAGCCATCTTCCAGAAGGTCCATCATCTGCAGAGTTACATTGTATGGCAGCTTCAGTTGTTAATGCTGTTCCTCCTCATGCTTTTCAGAGTCAAGGTAATACTTTCTCTTACTTTAAAATAATTAAATACACTAAAATGTGTTTAGCACTGTAATTCTTAACCCACATCTCCTAGATCTCCTATAGATACATTGCCCTTTGTCATGCTGCTGTTCATATTTACAAATGTTCTGTTAGCCTTCCAGTTGCCTGGTGTGGACATTTATAACCAGTGATCATATATTCTTAATAGAATCTGCAAGTTCTACTCTGGGTTTAATTTCTGAACCTGCAAAAATGACTCAATCCTGTTTGGAAGGGGAAAGCTGGAGAGCCAGTGTTGTGGAAGTGAAGGAGCCTGGGATTCCTGCATTGATGCCATCAGACAGGCAGCAGGACAGAGGTAAATAGCCAGGATGTTTACTACATGGCCCTCCCTCGATTCTTTACTGGTTCATTGCGAAAGCACCTGAGAGAGAAAGGGGCAAGATATATAAATGAGGTGCAGCCGTGCTCTAACACAGTGGCCCACAGTAGTTCGTAAGGAGACTTCAGATCTACCTGTGCACATCTCTCTCCAGGTAGTAAGGCTGGAAATAAACAAATTGTCACAGTCCTTTAGTATTTTGATGTTTAAAAGGAATTCTCATCTTCTAAAAAGAAGGGAAATTATGGGCCAGTGAAAGTACTTGCACTCTCCAGCCTGATAACTTGAGTTCAATCCCAGATCCCAGGATAAAAGGAGAGAACCAGCTCTCTAAAATTGTCCTCTGACTTCCACACTCATATGGCGGCACATGCACTTCCCACTCTGCCCAGAGAACACACACACTACACACACACGATAAAATACATGTGTAGGAAATTTTGTTATAGCACATGGTAAATACATAGGCATGGTAGCTAATTAATAACACAGGATTTTATTTTGTTTTTCGTTTTTTATTTTTGAGATTATAATATATCATTTCTCCCCCTGTCCCTTTTCTCCCTTTTCCCATATGCCCTTCATTGCTATGTTTCAAATTTATGGCCTCATTATTCATTAATTGTTCATGCATATGTGTATATGTATAAATGTATACATTCCTTATAAGGAGCTTCTTCCCTTACATGCCAAGACCATTCTGGGTTTCTGCTGTATTTTCTCCATTAAGTTTGCATGCTCCAGATATTTCCTGAGGGTGGTTAGAGGAGACACTTCAGGCTGCTGAGAAATAGGACCAATAGAGAGAAAATAAAAAGTGTGAGAGGAAGCTGAACTAGGCAAAACAAGATCAGCGCTGACACTTAACATCTCTTGGAAAGGCTCCCCAGGACTGGGACCAGAAACTGTCAAGCACTGTTTATGTTTGTTTATATATCTTTTCAGAGCATTTCATTGTAAAACTTGATCTTTATAAAACTTCTTTGAGCTAAGTACAGTAGGCAAAATAATGTTTTTTGTTTCTCATTCCGTAAACATTTAAGGACCAATACTAGGAGTGAAGAAGTAACTGCAGATTGTCTGCTTGTGGGCAGTGACTGTGGGGAAAGGAAGACAGGAATAAAGGGATGATTAGGATACAACTTATAAGTGCTGAGAGGCCTGGGTGATGAGGTTCTTGAGCAATACAGCAAATATCTTCTCAAGAAAGGACAGTCCATTTTCTGAGAGAGGCCAACAGTGATCATTATAGAGAACTTGGATGAAGGGAGAAAGTGCATTCAGACTGAGAGGATTGACTGCAGTGGTGCAATTTTGGTTTGGGAAGTTCACCATTCTTAGAAGCAGACATAGTATTTATTGAAAGGAGTAGCAAGAGCTGAAGGTTTGGAAGTGGAAGGAAGATGGTGGCATCTAGACATGTTGTAACATTTAGACCTTTACAGGTATTAGAGACATATGGAAAAAAATTGGGGAAAAAGTAACAATATCAAATTTGTGTTTCTAACTTAACCTTATTAGGCACTGTGGGAGATACTACACAAGAGAAAGTAGGATATTATTTGAGGTCTGTATTCTTAAAACACTAGTTAAGCGGTATAAGAATGGAGACATGAGGAGGCAGAATCACCAGTATTTGATACTACTTTGGAATATGAAGGAGAACAACCTAGCTTACTTCAAGCCTCTGGCTTGGGAGACATGGTGAATAGTAGTGCTGTTCCCTGAGCTAGGGACTAGGGTAGAGGGAGCAAACCAGAGGAGAAACAATGAATTGGTCTGCCAAGGTTCTCTGCTTAACTCATACTCTGCATGGAGTCATTAGTAGCCCACACTGAATCTAGCTTTTACTGTGTGATGCTGTTGGTTTTCAAAAATCATAAAGTTCTTACATTACTTTTGATAGGCTGGTTATAGTGGTGCACAACTTTAATCCCAGCACTCGGGAGGTGAGCCTGGTCTACAAAAAGGGAATCCAGGATAGCCAGGGCTGTTATGTTACACAGAGAAACCCTGTCTTGAAAAACTAAACCAAAACAACAACACCAAAAGTTGCTTTTTGATGCAATAACAGTGTATAAGAAGGTGTAAAAGTGACATTCAAATTGCTATTTGTGTAGAGCTTTGTGATACTACATTATTACAGCTCGTTTAATTCAGTAAGAGAAACATGTCAGCAGACTAGAAACTGAAATGAAAGTGTCTTAATAAAACAGATTTGGAAAGTATATTGGCTTAAAATGAGATTGTCCATACTTTAAGTAAAATTGATGTTGATCTTTCTTTGATGTTTAGATCTGCTAGAACAAAACTTCCAGTTCAAGGAACAGAACACAAAATTAGAGCCTGTGGAACAATCTCTGCTTTGGACCCTGCTACAGGATGTTCCTACTGCTTGCCCCACTCCGAGCCCTGCTGCGTGCCCCGCTCCGAGCCCTGCTGCGTGCCCCGCTCCGAGCCCTGCTGCGTGCCCCGCTCCGAGCCCTGCCGTGTGCCCCACATGGAGTTCTGGTGCTCAAAAGCTAGAACATCTTACTGCTAAGCTCCAGGAGATGGATGAGCAGCTGTTAGCAGTGCAGACCATTGCAGAGAATATAGAGCAGGACTTCCCTGCACCAGAAGTGGTAAATCTACAATGGGGAAAGGTATCTGTTCTTAGTTTCTGGTGGGTTTGCATGTATGGGAACCTGTAGTGATGGCTGCAATCGAGTTACTAGGTATATAGTATGATTAGTATGATATAATTTTAGACATCTGACTATTAAATAATAGGAAATAAGCTAGAATTTTAACCTCAGCATTGTTGACAGGCTAGATCAGCAGTTCTCAACCTGTGGGCCATGGATCCTTTTGGGGGTCAGGTCACCTGAGATCAGAAAACACAGATATTTACATTGCAATTCATAACAGCAAAGTTACAGTTATGAAGTAGCAACAAAAATAATTTTATTAGGACTGGAGAGATGGCTTAGCAGTTAAGTGCTCAGCTCTTCCAGAGGCCCTGGATTCAATTCCCAGCTCCCACATGGTGGCTCACAACTGTCTGTAACTCCAGTTCCAGGAATTCCCAACACCCTCACAGACATACATTCATGCAAAACACCAATGCACATAAAATAAAAATAAATAAATTTTTAAAAGAAAATAGTTTTATGGTTGGGTTACCACAACATGAAGTGCTGTATTAAAGAGTTGCAGCATTAGGAAGGATGCGAACCACTGGCCTAGATAATTATCTTTTTACTTTCTTCTGTGGGTCTGGGATCTCTCACACATTAGGCAGGTGCTCTACCAGTAAGCTACACTCCCAGCTCCGGGGAGTTCTGAATTCCCATGCATTGTAGCATAATTAGCAGCATCACGGTCTTCACTAGGTGCCAACAGCATAACCCCCGTAATAACAATGGGCGATGCTTCCCGACCCTGCCAAGTGTCCCCCAGCTGAGGACAAATGCCATAAACTTTTAAGTAGGGAGCCTGTGCTCCTTGTCAGGCAAAGAAATACACAATTTGAAAACACTGCCTTTAGTGGAGTGTCATTTTCTTCTCAAAGGTTTCTCTGTGTAGCCTGGGCCATCTTGGAACTTGTTTTGTAGACCATTATGGCCTTAAACTCAAAGAGATCTACCTGCCCCTGCCTCCCAAGTCCTGGGATTAAAGGCATGCGCCACCACCACCCAGCTTATATATGTATTCTTACATTTATAAATGTTTCCCTATGACTTTTTCAGACAGCCATAATGTTCTTTCTTTCTCCATCCTCTCTCCCCTCATGTATTACCATTCGTCCTTCATCTCCAATTCAAACACCAACACTTTCATTTGCCAAGTTTAACAGAACAGTTTGCGGGCCTGGATGAGGCAGGGGCAACTAGGAGATCTTGAGCAAGTACTAACTTGGAAACTTAACACCTCGAGTTGAAACCCATGACCTGGCCCTGTGGAGACTGCTCACTCTCTGGGCGTTGTTTCCTCATCTGAGTGTAGAAAATTTTGTACAATGGTAGCTAACTCTCTCTCCTACTACAGAACTATATGAAGTCATTTCCTAATCCTTGTAAAAGGGTCACATCAGTTTGGCTACAAATAGAAAAAAATTCTTTTTCATTAGCCCCAACAATTGGCTCATACTAGATTTTATCCTATTTCTTTCATTTTTGCTATATTATTTAAAATGCTTTAAATGTACCTAAAATTGTTTGATATTTTGATATTATCAAATATAACATTTCAGCAATTGTTTTTCTGTGTTTGTTTGTTTGTTTGTAGGCTGCAGTGGTGGATCATGTTGAATTGTCTCCTGGCCCTGTAATTGAAAAATCATTACCTTCAAAAGCCATTAGCATTTCTAAAGAAGGTTTGTGTTGGGTACCAGGGCTGGCATTGAAGTCTGGCTTCAAAAATTACTTTTTTTTTTTTAATTTTAAGATTTAATTATTATTTATAATGTGTACTCCAGAAGAGGGCACCAGATCTCATTATAGATGTTGTGAGCCACCATGTGGTTGCTGGGAATTGGACTCAGGACCTCTGAACGAGCAACCAGTACTCTTAACCTCTGAGCCATCTCCCCAGCCCACAAAAAAATATTTTTTACCTGTGAGCTGAAGCCATTGTTTGCTACCCTATCCCTAATCTTTTTTCCTTTACTTTTATGTCATGTTACATGGGTGTTTTGCTTCCCTGTATGTGCATACACGTGTGTGCATCCGGTATCTGTCTCTTTAAATATTCTGTTTTCCCATTATTAGTTCTTTCCAAGTCTGTGAGTGCTAGATTATCGACATGTCTGAAAATAGCTTTAGGTTTACTGTGATTTTAGGTCATAGTGTATGGCTGACTGCAGAATTGTCACATTTTCTATTGTTTCCCTCATCATTTGAAAGACTTTATCCCAGTATTTATTGACATCTCTAATGGTTAAGTTTACACTGCCTATGTGCAGATAGTCTAATTGCTGTTTTAAAATCTCTTGTCAAAAAAGAAAATAGTGATATGATTTCTTTTCAAGCTTACACGCATACATTAAATACACTTTTCAGTGGATCCAGTTTACAAGAGTTACATAAGAAATACTATACCTATTATTCATATGACTTATAATAACCATGTTTCTCCACATGAAATCAGTGGCACTGAAACTCTAAAATTTACTTCTTACTCATTTTTCTTTTTTGATACAATGTCTAGGTGTGAATTTCTATCCTACACCTAAGTTAAGTTCTCCATTTTGAAGATTTAACATTGAGAAGTTTGTATTGCTTCCATTGCCCTTTCCCCACTCTGTTATAATAATGCCCGTTAAGTTTATTTTGGACCTTGTTCTATTTCTTTAGTTTTTTAAGCTTACATGCTAGGGGCTAGGAGCCCAATACACACCTGGAGGGCAGAGGACAGCTTGAGGAAATTGGTTTCCTTCTCCTATTGTGTGAGTCCTTTAGGTCAAACTGAGGTCCTCAGACTTTGCAGCAGATGTAATTCATCTGCTAAGCCATCTTGTCAGTCTCTATTGTGATTTTGTTTGGGATGTGTATGTGTCTGTTTCATGATTTCTTCCTCTTTAGGACTCAGTGGTATATTCACTATTATTTCATCAAATCTGCCTTCTAATTTACTAAATCTCTTTTCTGTTATCTTTGTTGGTTACTATTTTCAATAGCTAAAACTTTGTTCCTCTTGTGGTTTCTAATCTTTTCTTAAATGTAATTTTTTAACTTTATATTTCTTGTTAATTAGTTCACTATACTTTCAGAATGTGTTGAAAGTGTCTAATACACTTATTAGAGGATGAATATTTCATAAGAAGTTGCTACACTTTCCCTTTGTGTTTTTTCTTAATTGTATGTCTGCCTTGGATTAGTGTGTTTCCAGACTCACGAGGATGTGGAAGACAAAAATGATACAGAGGAAACTTCAGAGACAGAACTGTTAGTAACAGAAAACCGTTCTAGCCAGAGAACCTACGCATGCCCTTCTGCAGAGTCGGCCGCTTGCCCTTCCGCAGAGTCGGCCGCTTGCCCTTCCGTGGACTGGAATATCACTTCTCCTGGTATTGTCCTTCATGTCTTAGCTGTGTATGCTCTCGTGTCGCATTAACGTCTTACTGAACTGTACCAGGGAGGGATATAAGCATGAAGGACTGGAAAGTAATTTTATAATAATCACTTCAGGGAAGAAAGATTTAAACATCCATTCACATAAAAATGTCATAAATACACTTTGAACCTTGTATTATACCTCTATAAAATTTTAGTATTAAATCGATAGTAATTATAATATTTGATTTTTATAAAAATTGAGTTAAAAATCCTAATTATTAGAATTTAAAATTTTAGTTTGTAAAAGTACTATTGGTTATTTGTTTAAGCCCCTGCTATGTACATTACTGTACATGTGTTTTTCACATGGTTCTTTTTTAAGGTTGACTGTGAGGGAGGAATTTCATTATTCTCATTCCAGAGTTGAGACTGAGATTTAAAAAGTTTCAGTGCCACTGATTTCATGTGTAGAAACATGGTTATTATAAGTCATATGAATAATATAGTATTTCTTATGTAACTCTTGTAAACTGGATCCATTGAAAAGTGTATTTAATGTATGCGTGTAAGCTTGAAAAGGAATCATATCACTATTTTTTTTTTTTTTTTGACAAAATAAGTATTCTGGTGCCTTAAGTAGGAATCTCCTTCAGGGTAGCCTCTTGGACAGGTGTAGTGCTTGCTTTTGTGGTCAGAATACCTTGGAGTTTTCTCTTCTGCAACTTCTATTTCTTAAAAAAAAAAAAAAAAAGTTAATGGAAAATAACTGATTGACTGAAGTTGGGTTTTTTTTTTTCCAAGACAGCGATTCCCTGTGCCTTGGCTGTCCTAGATTTACTTGGGAGACAAGGCTGGCCTTGAATTCACAGAGATTCGCCTGCCTCTGCCTCCTGAGTGCTGGGATCAAAGATGTGTGCCACCTCGCCCAGTAACTGAGATTGGATTTTAATTTAAAAACAGTCCTACGATTCCCAGAAACACTGCTCATGCAGGAAGAAGATGGCAGACTGAGTGTGACTGCAGAATTAAAAATGAAGAATTGTGATTAATGGAGGATTACACTGACTAATTCCGCTTAATCATTTCTTGAAGGTAGTCCCAAAGGAAGAATTTAAAAAATAGGGTTAGAATAACTACTTTAAAGTGTTCCTTATGGGGCTTTAGAGATGGCTCAGTGGTTAAGAGCACTGGCTGCTTTTCTAGAGGACCTGGTTTCAATTCCCAGCACCTACATGGCATTTCATTTCTGTAGCTTCAGTTCCAGGAGATTTGGCACCCTCATACAGACATACATGCAGGCAAAACACCAATGCCTATAAAATAAAAATAAATCAATCTTAGCTGGGAATCTCAGCACTTGGGAGATAGAGGCAGGTGGATCTCTGTGAGTTTGAAGCCAGCCTGGTCTATAGAGTGTTCCAGGACAGCCAGGACTACACAGAGAAACCCTTTCGGGGTGGGGGGAGGGAAGGGGCAGGGAATGGTCTTTAAATAAAACACTTTTCTTCTCTCTGATAAAAGCCATCATCTACTTCTTTTCTTACTGGTCACCTTTCAAACTGTGTCCAGGTTTATAGGTACTGTTTGAGCATTGAGTCTGCAACCAGAACTTAATCCATAGACCAGTCTGGCCTTCAACTCATTGAACTGCACCCGAATCTGCCTCACAAATGCTGGGACCAAAGATGTGAGCCACTATGCTCAGCTTAAAAGATGTCTCTTTAACACAAAAGATATAACACAAAAGTTATATCTTTTTATCCTTTGAGAAAATAAGTAAAATAAGCAAGGTATTTTTCCTCTTGACCTCATCTTAGATTTATGCAAAGCATTTCACTTTCCCTTCTACTACTTGCTATTGAATTCACACTTGCTGAGCATGCTGACAGATACCTTTAATCTCAAGAGCTTGGGAGCAGGTGGATCGCTGAGTTCAAGGCCAGCCTGGTCTACATAGTGAGTCCCAGGCTACCCAAGGCTACATAGAGAAACCCTGACTCAAAAAAAGAAATTCACATTTGCCCAGGCTATAAGCAGAAAGATCAATCCTCACATTAAGGGGATGGGAATGGAATGTAGCTTAGTTGGTAGAGTGCTTAGCCTGGCATGCCCGAAGGCTCCAGCATCAGCCACGTGTAACCCAGCTGCGGTAGTGCACACCAGTGATCCCAGCACACACAGGAGATATATGCAGGCAGTCAGAAGTTCACGTCTTCCTCTGTACACAGAAAGTCTGGGACCAGTATGGGGATTAAGAAATAATAATATATGCATAAGACAACCAAAATTATTCTCTTGAAACATATGCTTATATATGTTTTAGAGACAATTTAGACCAATATAATAAAATCTTAAAATTTTAAAGAAATGTTAGAACACTCTTCCTTTAGTAACTTGATTGTCTGAAAGAGTCACACATATAGATGCTTTGCTGAAAGATACATAATTAATGTTGGAAAAGTCTCAAAAATAATTCTCTGGGCCTTGTTCTTTCAAGAACATTGCTTCTGGATTAAAATTGTTTGTTTCCAGAACACACTACTTTCAGGTTGTCAGGCATGTACTCCATTGTTCTGTGAATGTACTAAACAAAGAAGAGTTTATTTCCTGGTGTATTCTACATAGTACTTGAGACAGAAAAAAATGTAATCTTAAAATGTAGATAATAGGGGCTGGAGAAATGGCTCAGTGATGAAGAGCAATTGCAGCTCTTTGCAAAGGACCTTGGGCTCCTATTCCTAGCACTCATGATGATTTACAACTGCCTGTAAGTCTAGTTCCTGCCTGTCTGATGTCGACTTCCGGCCTCCATGGGCACCAGGCATACATAGCGCACTTACATATATGCAGGCAAAATATTCATACACATAAAACAAAAATAATCTCTAAAAAAATGTAGGTATTAATTACTGCCATGTAGTATATATAAGGGAACACACACATACACACAGTAGTTTAGAGATTTAAAACCTGATTTCATTCTGGTTACATACTTTTAAAATCTGATTAAAATTGAAGTTAAAGAAGAATTGACCATGGGAATGGGGAAATGGCTCTATTCGTATAAGGCTTGCTTGCTGTGCAAGCATGCTAATTTGGCTCTGTAGTGCATACATAAAAAGCTGGTCTCAGCTGGGCTGGACAGCAGGAATGAGAGGATTCCTGGGGCTTGCTGGCTATCTGTAGTCAAATCACCCAGCTTCAGCTTCAATAAGAAACCTTGTCTCAAAAAGTAAGGTGGATCTGTTCAGATGTGGCCGATTGGCAGCTCAGTCTCCATGTGGATCTCTGAGTAAGGAGATCAAGGGCTGCCTCTATTATGAACTCAGTTGACTGCTCTCTGATCACTCGCCCCTGGTGATGCAGCCTTGCCAGGCCATGGAGGAAGAGGATCCAAGCTGTCCTGATGAGACTTAAAAAGCTATGGGCAGATGGCAATAGTGGAGAACTCCCCCTTTCAGTGGACTAGGGGAAGGGGAAGAGGGAGGGAGGGTGGGACTGGGGGAGTGGAGGGAGGAGGATTCAATCGGGATATATAATGAAAAAATTGTGAAGAAAAATTAAAATTTAAAAAAGTAAGGTGGAGATGATAGAAGGCACTTGATGTTGACCTCTTCCCGCTACACATGCACACATATGTGCGTGTGCTTATACATACGTTACAACATATGCAAAAATGCTGCCACATGTTTTTGTGGGGGTATGTTTGTTTTTGTCTGTGTGTTTTTGGTTTTGGGGCTTTTTTTGTTTTGTTTGTTTTGTTGTCGTTATTTGAGACAGGGTTTCTCTGTGTAGAATTGGCTGTCCTAGACTCCCTTTATAGCTCAGGATGGTTTCGAACTCAGAGATCCACTTGCTTCTGCCTCCCAAGTACTGGGGTTACAGGCACGCACCACCATGCCCGGCTTGTCCAAGTTTTTAAAGTATTTTTTGTTGAAAAATTTTTTATATAGTATATTCTGATCATTGACTTTCATCATTGTATTAACAATAATGTTTCTTTTTCTAAGGTGTGAATAACAGCAGTGAATTATTTGAAAGGTAAATCTTAAGAGTTCACTATTTTAAATTTGTATGTTAATATTTGTTATGGAAATTTTGCTGCTTTTATGATGTGAACTTGTATATTACACATTTTGTAGTTTAAGGAAATACTACAGGGAACTGGGGGATGTTAACATTGTATTTCTTTGCTGTTCTAATACAGGTAAGTAGACTATACTGATTACATTTTTTTACATTTTTTTTTAATTTTTATGTGTTTAAGCTACAACAGCTACAATCCATAGTTCCTTATGATGAGACATAGCAACACCATGTGACCTTCTATGAGGATAGCATCACTATTATGCTATTCTTGCCCAAAGACAGCATGACTTGACCGTCAACAGAATGGAGGCATACCAAAGAATGTTTTCTTAAAAATATTCATTCATTCATTCATTCATTCATTCATTCATTCATTTATTTATCTATCTATCTATCTATCTATCTATCTATCTATCTATTTATTTATTATGTATGTATACAGTATTCTGCCTGCATGTGTGTCAGCAGGTCAGAAGGCACCAGATCTCATTATAGATGGTTTTGAGCCAACATGTGGTTGCTAGGAATTGAACTCAGGACCTCTGCAAGAAACAACCAGTGCTCTTAACCTCTGAGCCATCTCTCTAGGCCTCCAAGGAATATTTTATAAAATGATCTGCTAAGATTTCCCAAAAGCATCAAGGTCATGAAAATACAAAGGTAGAAATTGTTTTAGATTTGAGAGGAGAGATGTCAAGACAACTATACTAATACCAAAGTGGACTCTGGATGGAAAAAGGACATTAGTGGACTGATTAGAAAACTATGAACATAATCTATAAATTAATGATAGGTCAATCCCCAATTTTGATATATAATGAAGATTATGTCAGGTAATTGAATAAACTGAATAAGGGTATATTGGAGTTTTGCTACTTAAAATTTTTTTTATATGTATGAATGTTTTGCCTACATGTTTGTCTATATCCCAGGTGAGTGCCATGTGCTCATGGAAGCCAGAAAGAGCCATCAGATCCTGGGCTTGGAGTTCTAGTGGGTTGTGAGCCACCATGCGTATGCTGGGACTTGAACCCAGCCAGTGCTCTTAACTGTGGAGCCATCTTTCCAGCCCAAGTCCTGTTACTGTGTTGTTGTTCTTCAGTGTGTTTTTGTGGCTATATGCCCATGAGTGCAGGTGCCCACAGAGGCCACAGGCATTGCATCCCTGGAACCTGTAGTTCCTATGAGCCACTTGATGAAGATGCTAGGCACTTTGGAACAGTGAGTGCCCTTAACCACTGAGCCATTTCTGCAGCCCATTTTGCTGCTTTCTTAAAAGTCTGGAGCTATTGCAGATGAACTGTTAGAAATTTTTCATCTGGAAGTAGAGCTCATTTTCAGAGAGTATCCATGAAATCATTGTAACTAGGCTTTTCTGCTAAGAATTATAGTAAAATAATTTTATTGAAAATAAAATTAAGAATGGGTATCTGTTTCTCATTTGTGCTCTAGGAATACAGTGTTACATACTCATTTCTGCTTAATGTGGTTAAGTCACAGATACAAACTTATATTCTTTTTTTTTAAGATTTATTTATTATGTATATAGTACTCTGCCTGCATGTATGCCTACACACCAGAAGAGGGTACCAGATCTCATTATAGATGGTTATGAGCCACCATGTGGTTGCTAGGAATTGAACTCAGTATGTTTGGAAGAGCAGACAGTGCTCTTAACTGCTGAGCCATCTCTCCAGTCCCAAACTTATTTTCTTGAAATTATATTTCCAAGTGTTTCAGAAGATCAACTCCAGGTAACTGGATTGACTGATATTGCTGACATCATTGATGACCTTATAACTAACAGTGGAGTTTCCAGCAAAGAGCTTGGCTTAACAGAATATCAAGCTCGAAGTATATGCAGGTAATCAACGAAAGTGCATATGTGCTAAGCATGGGACCATAGATCTTGTGTGTTTATATATGTCTGTGTATGTCTCTGTGTGTTTGTGTGCGTGCGTGCATGTTATGTATAGACTCTTAATCTACTTAAAACAATGCTGGTTCAAGAATACTTAAAATTTGCTAGATTTTATTTTAGTTTTATGAAACAGATTTGAGGCTCAAAATCAATGTTCCTCATAAAGTGCTTTTGTGATTTGTATGTGTCACTCTCTTGTATAACAGCATACTCACTATTTAACTCTGTACATCTGTTATGGGAGCTTTCACCTGGACATTCCGCACTAAATATGCAATGAGTTCTGTTTCCTTTATTGTAACTACTAACCCTTAGGTGCGTTGATAATAGCATTTCTGTGGAACATAAAAGGTCCTTTTCCTCTCATTCTTCTCTAGATGGAATCAAGGCTGACTGTCCCATTCATGTTTTCCTTAATTATATATGTATTTCCAGGCTTGCTTATTGAAAATATGTAAGCCTATCAGGTGTGGTGGCATAAGATACTAGGGAGGTGGAAGCAGGAGGGTGTCAGGTTTGAGGCCAACCTGGGCTTTAGAGAGAGACTGTCACAAAGTAGAATTTAACTTAAAGATTGAGTAGATTTTTTTAAATTTCTCTTATTTTGTGTACATTAGTGTTTTACATGGATGTATGTCTATGAGGATTTTGGAGCCCTTGGAACAGGTATTACAGACAGTTGTGAGCTGTTAAGTGAGGGCCGGGAATTGAATTTGGGTCCTCTGGAAGGGCAGTCAGTGCTCTTAACCACTGAGTCATCTCTCCAGCCCTGATTCAGGAGAACTGGATTTCTGCATTCAATTCCATTATTAACTTATTGAAAGTGCAGTGCATTACAATCAAACTCAAAAAGATGGTACCCGAAAATAGAACACAAAAAAGTACTTAAAATTAAAAATTAAGTGTATGTGTGTGTCAGGGGGTGGGACATGTGCACATGTGCATATAGGTGCCCCTGGGGATTGAGTTGTAGATGGTTGTGAGTCACCCGACCTAGGTGTTGGGAGCCAAACTTGACTCCTCTGCATGATCAGAGATGGTTGACTAAAGAGCATAAGGTTTGGTGCCCTTCAAAGTGTTACAGTATTCTCCTTCCAGAGCAAGAATATTTGATATTTTTCTTCTGCAAGTCATTGAAAAGCCAATGATCCTTACTTATTTTTCAGAATTCAGCATCCTTCTGGCAGATGCCCCCAAAGAACTGAAAAGGAGAAAAAAGAGATCAAAATCTGGATGAAAAGAAAACGAAAAGAGAGAATGGCAGAGTACTTAAATCAGCTGGCAGAAAAGAGGGGCCAGGAACGTGATCCTTTCTGCCCCAGAAGCAGCCCAGTAAGTCTGTAGTATCCCAGGAAAGGAGTTCTCACTGGGATTTTTTTTTTTTTTCTGGCAAATAGTCAAGAAAAAGAATAATGTAATTTGGATGCTTTTTTTATTGAGCACATAGTCAGGAAAAAGTTAATCAGTTTTCTGAGCAAAACATATTAGGATATTGTGCAAACTGTGTTATATTTAATTATTTTAAATATATTTTTTCTAGCTGGGTACAGTGGTGCACACCTATAATCCCAGCACTCAGAGAGGCAGAGGCAGGCAGATCTCTGTGAGTTTAAGGCCAGCCTGGTCTACAAAGGATGTCCAGGACAGCAAGGGCAACACAGAGAAACTCTGTCTCGAAAAACCCTAAACAAACAAACAAACAAATATTTCTCTATCAGGTTAATTAAGGCTCTGTCATTTTAAACAAACAAGGAGGTTGAATGGGTGGCTTCTTTCATTTTCAGTGAGGCTCATTGGTAGCTGAACCAGCCATGTTCATATTAAAACCATTCTTGAAATTTAGTTTTCGGGGCTGGAGACGTGGCTTAGTGATCAATGCAAGGACTGCTCTTGCAGAGAACTCAACATTTGGTTGTCAGCACCCAGGTCAGGTAGATCACGAGCGCCTGTAACTCAGCTCCAGGGTACCCCTTGGGCACCTACACTCAGTGTGCCTATTCACACAAACACACATACATATGTCAGTTATCTACAAAGAATACTTTATTTTTATTTTTATTTTTGGTGACATGGTCCCTTACTGGCCTAGAACTCTGTAGACCAAGCTGGCCTCAAACTTATGGGCTCTGACTAGCCGAGTGTTTAATGTTGATTCCCACAAATTATCTTCTAATCTCCATACACATAACATGGTATGTAAATATTTACACATAGATACATACAGTAAAATGGAGAAATGTGTGTGGGGGAAGTGTGTATTTCACTTACTTGACTCTGGGGGAAAGCCTGCTGCTAATGTGACACTTTTAAAAATTATTTTATGTGAGAGACCATTTGTCTCCATATATGTCTGTGTATCATGTGCCTACCTGGTACCTATCTGAGGCCAGAAGAGAGGACATTGGAGTTATTGATGGTTGAAAGCTGTCATGTGGGAACCTGGATTTTCTAGAGGAGCAGTCAATGCTCTTAATCGCTAAGCCATCTCCAGCATATGTAACTCTTTGTTAATGACCTTTGCAGACACAATTGAAACTTTTAAGTCTATTCATGTATGTAATCAGAATCTTGATGTGTATAGGGATGTATGTGTGTGTGTGTATGTAGATTTTCTCCCTCCCACTAAAAGATGGGTTTAGCATCACGTTCAGTATATAAGGACAACTTCTGAGAGTCAGTTGTCTTTCTATCATATAGGTCAGAAATCTTTACTTGCTAAGCCATCTTGCCAGCCCTAATGAATTTTGAAAATAAATAATAATGAACTCATTGCTCTAGGTTTTAGAAATAAGGTCTCTGTTTAGTCCAGAATAACATTCAATTCAGGATCTTCCTGCCTCAGCCATCTAAGTGTTAGTTTCATGGTGTTTTAATATAAGATTACATTTTACGCTAAGAGGAAAACTTTCTCAAATATGACAGTTCTTTTTGCACCTTTGTAAATACCAAAATAATGTCTAGTCCCTTAATTGTTTGGACTGAGCAATAATGAACTAACTGGATGTTTCCTATGCAGTTTTATATGACTTCAAGGCAGATCAGGCAAAGACAAAAGATGAAACATGAGAAGGATAGGTAAGTCCAGAAGCTGTGCCCTCAAACATGCTCTCTTACTTACTTGAGCCTTGGGAATTACATCATAGTTTTCTGTTAATAAATAGAATGAGAGATAGCATTTTAAGAAAAGATGCTTAGGAATGTGCTTCTAAATATTACTTGAATTAATTACTCTTCAGTTTGTGTGACTTTTATTTCTGCTGCCCTCCTATACCCAATCTGTGTGTGTCTGAAATACCTCAAAAGCCAAAAAAAAAGTACTAGCACATTTATTTTGTTATCATCATCATTTTGGTTCTTTGAACCACAGTGTCATTATATGCCAAGGCTGGCCTCAAAGTAGCCATCTTCCTGTTTCAGGCTCCCAGATACAGAGATCATAAAGTGTGTGCCATGACAGCTGTCTCTAATGGACATAGTAATAGAATACACTGTGCTGTCCAGTGATTGAGAAATGTGATGTGCCAGAGGATTTGTAAAGCATGTGCTCCCTCTACAAATGGACAGGAAAGTGACTAAGAGAATGACATTAGCTCCTATCTACAGGTTGCTGCTGTCTAACCACTATAGTCAGCGGATCTCAGAAGCATACTGTCTGATGAATGAACTGCTCTCTGACTCAGTACAGCTAACAGCACCTGCAGAGAAGCCCTTTCCTAACAGACCACGCACTGCTCAGCATTGCAGACAGCGACATCGCGCTTCTCCAAGGTAAATAAGACAAAGTTTGGCCTATCACTTAGCAAAATAATTTCAGGATCCATAAACAATATAGCACTGAGGTTTGTTTTGAGACAGGGTCTCCTGTATCCGAGGTTGGCCTTGAAATTGAGGTGTAGTCAGTGATGACTTTGAACACCTGATCCTCCTGCCTCTCCCTCCCTCCCAATGGCTAGGATTACACACCCTGTTTATGCAGTGTCGGGTATTAAACACAGAGCTTTATGCTTGTAAAACACACACGCTACCCACTAAGCTGCACCCCCAGCCCCAAATGTACGTAGCACTTTTGTGTGACAAGTTTGATGTATCTTCACTTATGCCAGCTGGAGTTATAATGATAAAATGAAGACAAAATTAGCTCCATAATTATAAAGTCTTACAAATATATAGAATTACCAAGGAAAAGACAAAAATTTATTAATGTATTAAATTTCTAAATAAGCTACAACAAAGCATTTTCCAATATGTGAAACAGGACATTTTATATCTGTTCAGTCATTTCTTTGGTTTCTATGAAGATTTGCTTCTGTAAATTTGCCTCTTAATCCCTCCCACCCTCCACCTGCTGTTTTCATTCAGCCCTCCCTCACCATCAACACATCTTTCTGCCACCCCCCACCCTGTCCAGTTAGCTCATATAGCTGCAGGTATTATTGCAGTTCGCTTACATTAGCCACCTGCAGTGGCTTTAGATAAGAATCCCTTAGGCAAGAGTTAAAGTGGAGAATGCTGCTAATGGCCCAGATGTAAATGTTCTTACATGCGGCCCAGAAACATACAGATGTTAGTGATTCACATAGTTCTTATTCACAATGTCAACATTTTCTTCAATAGAAGTGGGTAGATGTTACTAAAATTTTCTTTGGAAAATCATAATACTTGAGTGTTGACATACAAAGAGTAATGTTTTATGTGCAAGGTTATATTGCAGTGCAGCATAAGCACTGTTGTTATTTGGAGATTTTAACATTTTCATAATCATGTGATTTCTACCTCAGAGAGAATGCACATGGGCAGAATTTCCCAATAAATGCACCTGGAAGAGGCAGACATATTTCCAGATCAACAGCTCACCATAAGGGGAAACCCTTGAGGCAGCCCCAAGGCTCGTCTCAGCTTCGAGGTAAGACCTGAACTCCCTTGTTTTTCATGATTTGCCTGTGTTCCTTGTAGTCTCTAAAGTTATTTTATTAGTAAAAGCCATAAAAATCACAGTAAAAAGAAACTGATTCCAAGAGAAAGCATGGTATTGAGAAACATTTAGGTAGTCCAGGATTTTGTTCTATTAGTTTGAAATGGTAGTTATGCTACTTTACTGTTCCCAGTGCTATGATTACCAGCCTGAGCTACCATGCTGGGCTCACGACTTCTTGATGGCTAGGGAAAAGGTCTTGGACACCTCTTTAGATTTGTCCCATCTCATGCCTTTGCTGTTACCTTTTATTATGACTGTGGCTGTCATCCCTCTGGTCTACCTCAACCCACTCCTGCAGCAGCTCACACACCAATACAAACACTTCCAAACTTTCTCCACAGCCTCAGGCCACAGGAAGATCACAACTTCCCTGCTTTGTAATGGTTAGTTTCTCATCCATAGTCCAGGCTTTTTGTACTCTGTTCCTTAGTTGATATCCTCCCATACACCTTGAGTGAAGACTTTGTCAGCCTTCTAAATAGCTAGGATTATAGACTCATGATTTGCACATGGCTTAGGCACCCATATTCTTAATCCTTTAGGTGTTCTAATGTAATATGTTCAAGTTTTAAATTTATTTCCTCATTTATGAATGGAAGTTAATGCTTAACTTGCACAGTTGCTATGAAGATGGCAGTACTTAGTCACACATTTCACAGTCCGTGTTAGACTAAATCTTTGACTGTACTACACTTTCTTCCTCATCTTTGTATTGCCCCTTACTTAAAATGAACAAATGAGATACTTGAATAAACTAAGTGAAAAATGGTTGTTTAGCTATGTTAACAGATTTTTTGTTGTTGTTGGTTTTTTTGTTTTGTTTTGTTTTTTTGGAGACAGGGTTTCTCTGTAGCCTTAGCTATCCTGGACTCGCTTTGTAGGCCAGGCTGGCCTTGAACTCAAGAGATCCACCTGCCTCTACCTCTCCTAGTGCTGGGATCACAGGTGTATGCCATCGTGCCCATTAACAGGAAGGCATTACAGGATGTATACCCTGTCAGACACCTGTTATTTTGTTTCAAAAGAAGGTCTAGGTTTTAGACTCTTCCAACTCTGCTACCTACTTTGGGCTTTCAGGTAGATTATTAAAACCTTATTTTCAAACCTGACATGAAGGCATACACTCAGTCCTGGCACTTGGAAATAGAACATGGAAGGATCGGTAGTTCAAGGCCATGCTTGACTTACACAGTGAGCTTCAGGCCAGGCTGGACAACTTGAGACCCTTGTCTCTAAAATATAAATAATAAGCCAGGTGTGGTGATGCACGCCTTAAGTCCCAGCACTCCGTAGGCAGGTGGATCTTTGTGAGTTCTAGGTCAGCCTGGTCTACAGAGTGAGTTTCAGGACAGCCACGCCTACACACAGAGAAACCGTGTCTCAACAGACAGACAGACAAATGTACATACATATATGTATTTTATGTGTGTGTAAAATGTAAACTATGTTTACTAATATGTAAACTAAATATGTAATACATATTTATAAGTAACAAAGCTCTCTGGATGAGGTATACATGGAAGTCCCACCTACTTAAAGAGGTTAAGGCAAGAGGAACACATGAGCCTGGGAGTTCAAGATCAGCCTAGGCAACATACTGGGAGCCTATCTCAGTAAATAGACAGGTTAATAAATTACTGTTAAAACCATTTGCTGGCAAGATGGCTTAGCAGATAAAGGTACCTCCTACAAAGCCCATGAACTAAGTTCAATCCGAGGAGCCTGGGTAAAGATGAAGAAGAGACCTGGTTCCTGCAGGTTGTTTTTGAAATGTTCTGTCAGGAGCTCTTCCACCCATATAATGTTTTTTAAATGTCTTGTCATAAAGTTGCTGGGTATTTTAAGTACAGCATAAAGCATGTATGTGTTGAGTTTTGCTGAATGGGTGGCTTCAGCCACTTTTGTCATAGACGCGGCGGGTAGCAGAGGATGAGTAATTGTCACCTGGTGAAATGGTATTTTATTGCACCATAGTACTAGCCCATTTTATTATGAGTAGTGTATATTTTTACCTGAGTGACCATTTTACTATGTGTGTGTGTATAGCTCCATAATCATTGTAAAATTTATCATAAAAAATTAAAAGCTTTGATTACCCTGGAGGTAGGAAAACTGCACTGTGAAAAATTTTACACACTATTTCACAGAAATGCATGTTATCTCATAATTGGGTAGGCCAAATAAATCCTAGAGAAAGGCATGGTCCAGAGAAGTCATTTGGGGTAAAATCAGGGCCAAAGACAGCTAGCTTCTCACTGTCTCTGGCCATTTAGTTCAGTGGTTCTCAGCCTGGCAGTTGTGACCCTCTCACAGGGGTCACCTAAGACCATTTGGGAAACACAGATATTTACACTATGATTCATAATGGTAGCAAAATTACAGTTATGAAGTAGCAACAAAATAATTTTATGGTAGGGGTCATCACACATGAGGACCTATACTAAGGTGCCACAGAGTGGGGAAGGTAGATCATCTTTCTCGATGTCAATAATTGTGTTTATTTCACCAAACAAGGCCTTCTATAGTGTCTAGATAACAAGTTAACTGTGGCAAACATGGCGTGGGATTGCTTGGTGGTGGTCTCCAACTGTGTCCTGAGCATGTGAGAGAATGGTCTGGCTGCACACCTTCCTTTGTTTCTGTCTTGGAGACATGCCCTCGAATGTTGGTGGTGGTTATTGTTGTTCTTCTTGTTCTTCTTCCTTCTTTCTTCTTCTCTTCCCTTCCTTTCTTGCTTCCTTTTGTTCCTTGTTTCCTTGGTTCCTGTTGTTGTTTTGAGACAGGATCTCCTCACTAGTTGTTCTTGCTCTAAAGATGAAGTCACCGTTACTTTCAAATCAAAAGAGATGGTGAGACTTCAGTGGCCTTGTCACATATTGCTGGAAGTCTGCAGTTAGCCTTGGCCAAACCTTATGGCTTGAATATTTGGTAACAGATGTGAGCTTAGCAGTAAGGTCACAGTTCATACACAAATGAGTGTCTCAGTCAGTTCTGATGTGTGTTGTTTTCCCTCTAAAGGTTCTAATACTGTGTGTCAGAGCCTGCAGCACATGAAAAGCCATGGGGCTGTTGGGACAGCTCCTCCAGTGAAGCAGGTGTGCACAGAGCATGAGAGAGAAGAGATGGTGGTGAGTCCCTGGATGCTGCCTTCAGAAATCCACCAGCTTCTTCATGACAGGCCCAGGTCCCATCTACAGGTTAGTGTTCTTGTCTTTTGTAAGATTGAAAATAATCATTTCTTAGGTCATTTTGAAATTCTCTTTTTTTCTTCTTTTTCTTTGTGTGTATGTATGTTTGTTTTGTTTGAGACAGTTTTGTATGTAGCCTCTGGTGGGTTTTGTTTTGTTTTTCTTTTTCTTTGAACTCAATGATAAATTTTCAACATTTTCTAGTACCTTCCTTCCTCTCCCAAAATAAGTATCCTGGTTCCTCTGTTGTCTTATCTGATTTCTAGACCTTCTGTGTATCTGACTGCACCATTTCATGGAGTCTTTTAATCTTCCCCCTATGTAGGATACTCCCACCTTTCTGTTTGTTCTTAGTTATGTGTGCATCTGAGTCTGTGTGCTTGCATATGTGTGGTATCCATGCACACACTGCTCCTCTGTTCCCTTGAGACAGTTTCTTACTGAATCTGGAGCTCACTTTTTCTGGCCTATTGGCCAGGAAGTCACCCCATGGCCATCCTTGTCTCTGCTGGAGTTAAAAGTACATGCAGCCACTTACAGTCTTTCTCCACGGGTACTGGATCTAAATACAGCCTCACACTTGAGCAGCAAGCAGTCTTCCTGTTGGGCTGTCTCTAGCCCTGGTGTACAACCCCCATCCCCTCTGAGAAGTCCAGACTAGCTTCAAACATGATGGAAACTTGACACTACCTTGAACTTTTGAGCCTCCTGCCTCCATTTCTAGAGTGCTAGAATTATAAGCACGCCTACTCTGCCCAGTTCCTAGGATTTCAGATATTCAGCCTAGTAGTCTAGTATTTGGTTGTCAGAATTTTCAACTTAGTTAAGTACAAAGAACAGATTACTGTACTACAGGTACCAAAACCCATCCTGACTGCTCATCAGATCTGATGCCCACAGCTGTGTCTGCCGTGTCCGGCTTAGTGCAGATCTGCTTGGCAACCACCACCCAGGTTCCCACATCCCCTTTACCTGTTTGATGGACCACAGCTGTTTTTCCAATTCCACAGGAGATGTCACCAGCTGAAGAGGAAGAGCCTGAGCCCTCTTTGTTGGTGAATGGCATGGACAGCGTGTCTGAGAGCACTGGCAGCATCCTCAGCAAACTTGACTGGAAAGCCGTTGAAGACATGGTGGCCAGCGTAGAGGAGAAAAGCCCTTCTGTCCACTGGGCCTTGGACTTCTAGTACCTGCGTAGTGTTCTCTTTGCTATCCAGGCACTGGCCAGCGTCTCACTCATGTGGTCTTGAGAGTTTTGTGGGTCTAAGTCTGTGAAACACTCAAAGAAATAATGAGAATTTACATTTTGAAGCTATAGGGATCTTTGGGTTAACCATTCCAAGACGGAAAAGAAATGTTTCAGTAATATTGCCTTTATGGGGAAAGGTTGTTTAGCTAGAGAAAAGTATTATGTTTTTGCATATGATTCATTTTTAAATATAATTTAAACAATACGCACATGTCAAACCAGGTTTTCAGAATATTTAAATTACTTTGAATTAAAAAAAAAAAACAAAACAAAACCCAAAAACTTATATTTGCTTCCTCCTTTACTATCCTCTGTGCTTTCAGAAACTCCTTATAATGTGGACCTGACGGGGACTTCCTGTCACTGAGGAGAAACTCAAGTCTGCTCTTCAAAACTTAGTTTAAAAATCTGCAGTTGAGCTGAGCAGGGTGTGACCAAGGAGTAACTTCCATCCAGGCCAGATCTTTGTCTTGTGCTCTGGCCTGGTATGTTGCAGGGGAAGAGGGGACCCTTTGGATGGAGAGGGCATGAAAATTCTGGTTAGTCAACACTATTATATTTGTGTGTGTGTACACCACAGCCCATGTGAGGTGGTCACGGAAACTTGTAGGAGTTAGTTCTCTGTGCCTTGTGGGTCCCAGGCCTTGATTTTGAATCAGGCTTGGTAGCAAACACCTTTTACCTGCAGAGCCACCTCACTGGCCTACAGCGATCAGCTTAACCTTGTAAAAATCCCAGGGCTGAGGCTTACTAATTTTGGAGATCATTTTCTGAGAAATGACTAAAATTCCAATTTGAGCCCTATTATATGAAAAGACTGGATTATCTCAACCCCTGACGCTAAGATGTAAGATGTTTGCTGTGTTCTTCAACCAAAGCAACGCATTATTTAACAATGGCGAGAAGTGCAGAATCAAATAATTTTATTCTCACAGTTTCTTAAAGGTACATGCAACCAGCTTATTCTTTCTGCCCCGCCACCCCTTACCGCCACCCCTTACCACCACCCCTGAGACAGGGTTTCTTTGTGTAGTCCTGGCTGTCCTGGGATTGAGGCTGGCCTTGAACTCACAGAGACCTGCCTGCCTCCACCTCCCAAGTACTGGGATTAAATGCATGCACCACCGCCACCCAGTGTGACCAGTTCTTATAAATCTGTATCGTAGGGCTGAGGATATAGTATCTGCCTACTGTGTGCAAGGCCCTGGCTGTGATCCCCAGCACCAAGGAACACTAAAATTTTTTTGTTGTTCCTCTACCCTTTTTTTTTTTTTTTCTTTCTCCTGTGGTGCCAGGGGATCTGAGGACTCTAGCTCTCAGCTTGGCACAGGTAGGTGAGCAGTTTACTTCATTACTTATTTACCGCCCTGGCATGTATTATGACACTCTGCTTTTGTTTGCATGTTGCTCAGTTAGGTCTTGGGCTGTGGTTTTTTTTCCACTCTTCAATCACATTTCATATAAACCCCTTCTTCCTCTGCCTTTACTTTGTTCTCATCCTATCCCTGTTTCTTTTACTTCTGAATTAAAACCTTCCGTAGCTCTAACAATCCCTAAAGTCTATGGGCCCTAACAGTGCCCCATCTTTTTCCTTTCAGCTATTTTACCCATTTCACCTCTTAATGCGTGGCCTCATTTACCTTCCCTCCCAGTTTTAACCCTATAAACTAAAATCTGAGAATACTGTGCAGACAAAATGAATGCAGTTGGATATATCACTAGAGATTAACCTTATTACAGTAGGAGTGGGTGGCTTTGGTAACCCTCTCACCAACTGACAGGTCTTCCCAATGCAACAGCAAAAGTAGATAAATATGTTAATTAAGTGACACCATAGACCAAACAGACCTAGCCATTTGCAGCACATTTTATCCAAATACTACCAGTATACCTTCATAGCAGCCCATGGAACTTTCTCCAGGACAGACCACATTAGGACAAGAAGCCCATGGAACTTTCTTCAGGACAGATCACATTCTCAACAAATATAGGAAAATTGAAATAATCATTTGTATCTTATTAATTGAAACAGAATAATACCCAGAGAATAATACCCAGAGAAACCCTAAAAAACCACAAACTCATAGAGAGGGAACAACACACTTTTGAATAGTGAATGAGCCCTTACATAAATCAAGGAAAAAAACAACAACAAACAGTTCTTAGAATCAAATGAAATGAAAACACATTCCCAAACCTATGAGATCCATTGAAGGCACTCCCAGAAGTTAAATTTATAGTTCTAAGTGCCTACTTAAGACTAAGTTGGTTAGGTGGGGAAGGGGTGGAAGAATTGAGGAGGTGAATATGATCAAAACACATTGTACAAAATTCGCAAAGAACTAATTTTAAAAAATGTGTATCACATACCCCCCAAAACACAAAACCACCCAAGCAAATACCCCTTCAAAAAATTATTAAAAAAAAAAAAAAAAGGATTGGCTCAGGACAAGCAACATGAACATTTTTTCTCCTATGGCCTCTTGTTTCTTCTTACAGGTATTATAACAAACCTTTTTTTTTTTTTAAGATTTATTTATTATTTATATATACTCTGCCTGCACCAGACCTGATTACAGATGATTGTGAGCCACCATGTGGTTGCTGGGAATTAAACTCAGAACCTTTGGAAGAAAAGCCAGTTCTCTTAACCTCTGAGCCATTTCTCCAGCCCTATAACAAACCTTTCATTTCTTTTATATTTTATTCACTTCTGTGTTGGTGGTGCATATGTGCCATGGTGTTCATGTGGAGGTCAAAGGAGATGGTTCTCTTCTATCATAACACATAAAGGAGTTGAACAACTTGCCTCTGTAAGTTCAGCGTAAGGAATTACGGGGACTATGCCACAAGCAAGACCCCAGCTCCCACCTGACTGCATTAACACAGAGGACAGCAGTTCCTGGCCAGATCTCATCTGCTTCCTATTGTTGCTCCTACAAATGAGGTTTTCATAGATTGTTGCTCTTACAAATAACGTTTCCAACAAATAAGGCCGTTTATATGTGACCCAGGGTTGTGTGGTTAAACACAGGCCATAGGCATGTGAAGCTTAAAGGATTTTCTAACTTTACAGAAAAATATTTTCTAACCATTGGCCTTAAGTGTAACCTCCACATAGAAACCACATGCTTCAATTTAGTGCCTTTCTCTAATGCTTAAAATGACAGATAGTCATCAGTAGCATCAGAGGAAAATCTGTAGCATGAAAGGGAGAATCCCAATCCCATAGGGAGGGGCTCAGTTTGTTGTGAGCAGAGCCATCCCTGGTCTGGAGGTCCTGGCTTCTATAGGAAAACAGGCTGAGCAAGCCATGTGGAGCAAGCTAGTAAGCAGCATCCCTCCATGGCCTCTGCCTCTGCTCCTGCCTGCCGTGCTTGAGTTCCTGTCCTGACTTCCTTTGATAATGAACTGTGATGTGGAAACATAAGCTGAATATATCTTTTTCTCCCCAAGTTGTTTTGGTCATTGTTTCATCACAGCAACAGTAACCCTGACTAAGTATACCATGAGATCACAGAGTAGATTTCATGAGAGAATAGATGCACACAGGAGAGCTAGGAAAGAACCAACCATGGTAACTTGGGAAACAAGAACACCATGATATAGAGGAGGAAGAAAAGAACAAACAATTGCAGGAAGTCTGAGAACCTTCAGTTTTAGCCCTGTCAGTAGTCTGAACTGTCAACTAAAATACACAAACTAGCTGGTATATTAAGCAAGATCCAGTAATCTGCTATGCCTGGGAAACATTCCTCAATGGCAAAGACACCCAAGAATTGAGAGTTAAAAAGGCATCAACATATCAAGAAAACAGAAGCCCAAACAAGCAGACATAGCTATTCTGACACTGTCAAGTGGGCTTCAAACCAAAGTTAGAAGAGATAAAAAGGCAACTATGTATTATTAAAGCAGCCCTCTACCAAGAAGTTATAACAACTGTAAATGTATATGTACCAAACATCAGACTTTGAATTTCAAAATCCAAAACAAAACAAAAATACAGATACAATAATAATGGAGGTCTTTACATCTCTTATAATCAAGAGGTTCTCTAGAATAAACTCCACCAGAAAACCTCAGAGTTAATCTGTACCATAGATGAAGTGCACATATTAGATAGCTATAGAATATTCAACAAACAGTTAAGATATACAAGCTTCTCAGTTGCTCATGGAACTTTCTCTGGCACAGACTACATTTTAAGCCATAAAGCAAGTCTTAGCAAATACAAAAGAGTTGAAATAACTTCTTGTTTCTCAACTACCAAGACTCACTCTAGGGAGCCATTATCACCCTGTTAAAACTAGATAAGGAGGCAACCACTCCATAGTGAGGGCAGATTGGCTGCTCCGTGGTTAAGAGCATTCGCTCTTGTAGAAGAGCCCAGTTTTGTTCTAGGCACCTGCAGAATGATTCACAATTTCTCATAACTACAGTTCCAGGGGATCTGATGCCTTCTCTTGGCCTCAAAGGCACATAAACATGCAGGCAGAACACCCACAGGCATAAAATAAAAATGAATTTAACATTAACAGCAAAAACTATGGCCCAATTTCCCTAATGAACATAGATGCAATTAAAAAAAAAAACTTTCAAGCTGGATTCAATAGCACATTGAAAAAGAGTATAACCATCACCAAGTTGGTTTCATTCAAGGCATGCAAGAATACTTCAACAGATGCAAATAAATATAATACAGTGCATAGACTCAGTTACAGAAGTACTATGTTGAACCCAATAGTTGTAGAGGAGACCTCGAACAAAGATCAACATCCCTTCACATTGAAACACTAGAAATTATATATATATATATATATAATTTAGAACATTTTAACTATTCTTTTTTAAAGTAATTTATTCATTTTTATTTTTATGTGCATTAGGGTAAAGGTATCAGATCTGTTACAGTTGTGAGCTGCCATGTGGGTGCTGGGAATTGAACCTAGGTCCTAGGTCCTTTGGAAGAGCAAACATCGCTCTTAACCACTGAGCCATCTCTCCAGCCCAATTTAGGACATTTTTAAAGCTGAATAAAATTCAAAGTAATAAAGGCTGTGTATGACAAAATTAGAGCCAACAATTCTATTAAATGGGAAAAACAAAGCATATGCTGTTTTAAGTCTTATGACAGCAATAAGGTAAACAAAAGAAGGAGAAAGGTTACAAATAGGAAAGGGTCAAATATGCCCTATTTGTAGATGATGTGATCCTGTGTCTAAAAGACCCTACAGACTCTACCAGAAGATCTGAGCTCTGATGGATAT